TAGCCCGACGTTTGGGGTCAAGTATTTCTGCTCATAACTCAGAAAAACTATTTTGGCTTCATCAAATCATAGGCCTTCATCATAGCAGTTAGCCTTCCAGTTTATTTATAGTTCAATGTTCACCCCCTGAAAATAATCAAAATGGTGGACATGCAGGGATGAGTCCATTTTGATGATCATAGCGTGGCAGCAGTAACGCCTTTTTTGCCGAGTCGGCCTTCTGTGAGGTCTCTATTCTGTGCTGTAGGTGACGTGCGAAATTAGTTACGCATGCGCTGTCCACAATAATTTTGCCAGAACAAAGACACTAGCAATAGACCTTTCTTGATGACGTCAAAAGCGGAAAACCAATTTATGCATTGTCCCACAGGTCAATGTAAGTGTCGTTGGTGAGCCAATAAATTTCATAAAAACTCATTTGCATTGTCCCTTTGGACATCCATTAAGTGTTCCGCGTTTGACGTCATTATCAGAAAGGTCAAAAGCAAAGCTTTGTTTGGGCAAAATTATTGTGGACAGCGTACGCGTTAGTAGAAATATCTTTGTGAACAGCAATTTTTACCCCCCCCCCTCCCCCCTTGTACAACGTTGAAAGCTTATAAATTGGTTAGGTAAAAGCTTTGTGAAATACAGTGTCACAACCAACATTGGACGGGGTGGTGGTGTGGTTGGGGGATACAAAGATGCCAATTTAGCACGCCACCTACAGCACAGATTAAAGACCTTACAGAAAGCGGACTCGGCCAAAAATAACACAACTCCTATCACGCCATGATTCGCAATGATTCGTCATCAAAATGCACTCGCCATGTTCCTAGCCAGTACCTCAGAATAAAGACATACAGAAATGTAAATTCCATTACAAAACCGTGAGGCGCTTTTTTACCGAAATAGCTGGCGGCCATGTTCTTAGCAAGTGCCCTAAAGAGAGGCATTCACCTCCTGGAATATTAAATTTTCAATATGTTTTCAGGGGGGTGACTGCCTCTCTTTAGAGCACTTGCTAAGAACATGGCGGACTGAAAAAATCCCTTACGCGAAATTAACCTGAAGTGAGATCTCTGTATGTACTTCCTCTGTGCCAGTACGCTATTTTCAGGGGGTGAATGCCTCTCGGCTAGGAACATGGCAACAGTATTGCTACGGTTCGGCCTTCTGTAAAGTCTCTACTCTATGCCTATAGCATCAGCGCCTATGATCAGCGCACGCGCCACGCCATTGGATTAGTTTGCGTTGCAGAAGAAAAAAATATATGTTTCACTAAAATGTTACATTCCATATATACTGATTTATTGGTGTCTACTTCAAATACAAGTAAAATACAAGTTCTGCAATAACTTAAAATACAAGTTTTACAATAACTACTTTACAACTTTACAATATATCTTGTTTGTATTCTTGCTGAATAATAATAGTTTCTAGTTTAATTGTTTTTGTTTGTGGAAACACCACGTAAATTTATTACTGCAAAGCTTTCGATCCGTAAGCCCGGATCTTCATCAGTGCTAATAATATGTGTAATAATATAACAAAAACAATTCTATTTTATCGCCATGCAAACATTCAAAGAACTTAGTTTCTAGTTTGTTTTTTCGAAGTGACTGTATGACCGGCAGCCGGACCACTGAGTTTTGAAAAAAGCAAAATGCAGTCCAGCAGGACTTGCAATACGAATTAAAGTTAGATCTTTAGGTATATTGTTATTTCTATAAAATATATCTCATCTCTAGCCATAAAACTAGAAAGTTAAAATTATTGGAAATAAGCTTGCAAAAAGAAAATACGAAAAAGAACGAAATGTACTCGTTGAGTTCGAACCCACCAGCCACGCCACTGGCGAATTTGCTGTTGGTGGCGTGCTGATTGTTGGGCTGCCCATGCAAAAATCGCATATAGTCACTTCCTCTTTTACACACAAATTTTTAAATATGGGCTGTCCGCTTTTGGCTTAACTTTTACATGCATATTGCAGTCTGTACTTGAAAGACAGTGACAACAAAAAGATTTTATTGTCTCATTTGAAACAACTTAACTCTCGAAATATTTTAACTGAAAGCAAAGAGTTGCTAGAATGTGGGCAAAAGTAACCTTTCAGAAAACGCGTAGATACCATTCCGTAGGTACAACTGGTATGCATTTTGCCAAAAATTCCACTTACGAACCAGATCAACGTACACCATCCATAAAGTGTTTCTGCAAGTTGTCTCTTGAACATATTTGTTTTTTATTTCGACGAAACGCTGTGCACACCTTCTGTAACCTGTTTTGAAACAGCAAATTATGTGTGAATTATCAAATTTTGTATAAATTATCAAATTATGTATAAATTATCAAATTATGTATAAATTATCAAATTATGTATATACAGTTAATACAGTAGGCCCTTTGCAAATGTTGTTCTTTGTCTTATTCCCTTTTTTTACAAATCCCACAGCTCTCCATGTTCTAAGCCCAGTTCAAAAGAGTCCAACAACACCCAACATTATTGATCCAATAGTGTTGGACGATTTTGGACAATATTGGATGAGCATGTCCCACAAACACTACAGTTTTGGGTTTTTCTCAAGAATATATTGTTATCCCTGATTATGGCTCTGAAATGGAGTTGATACACTGTATTGGGAATATTTCGAGACTTCAATACCTGGTTGAGTGGATTAATTAAGAGCTGAGGGTTAATTAATATAGGGGCACAGAATAAAGACGCACAGAAGGTCGACTCCGCAAAAAAAGCGTGCCGCTGCCACGCGATGATTTATCATCCGGCGAAATGCTGACGTCATGGTCCTAGCCAGTGCGCTTATGAGAGGTATTTACCCCCTGGATGTCCGCCATATTGAATATTATCAGGAGGATGAATGCCTCTCATAAGCATACCTAATTTTAGTGTGCAGTGATAACCAATTTGTGCAGTGATAAAAGTAAAATGTGCAGTGATAAAATGTAAAATGTGCAGTGATAAAATTTGCTTTGATAAGTTGTTAATTAGCACAAGAGAATGATTTAATTGAAATTGAAATGATGACTGCCAAATTATCGAATTAAATAATAGTATATGTTTTTTGTACGAAAATCATGAGATTCAGGCAATTTTCAGTTAATATCTGGCTTTTGGTATGTCCGGAAAAAATTTTTGACCCTTAAAATGGTACACTGACGAAAATTTTTTTGGCAACGGGGGGGGGTCGCCAAAAATTTCCGAATATTCTGAAATTTTCTTAGTCATTCGGAAATTTTTGGCATAAAATGTGCAGTGATAAAAAATTCTTAAAATTAGGTATGCTCATAAGCGCACTGGCTAGCACCATGGCGTCAGCATTTTGATGACGAATAACGGTTACACCAAAGATTAGGTACTATAAAGATGTGCCACTCGACGTATTTCCCTAATGTGTGCGTGTCCGTAATTTTCCGTGCTGATCACGAGTGATCACGCGAGATGACGAGTGCATAACACTTACTGCCAAAATGGCGGCGAGACTGAATCAGTGGACTGAATACAATAGGTTGCCATCGCGATGCTCGCGCTATATGACGAATTTGACACTTACTGGCAAAATGGCGGCTATAAAAAAATCTCGGACATAATTTTCGCAGAGTGGCACATCTTTATAGTACCTAATCTTTGGTTACACCAAAATCATAGGAAAAACCAAGAAGTCGAGCTTCTGTTTGTATCTATTCTGTGATAGCGTATGACTAAAGCCGCCTGGTTTACACTATCTCAAACTCATTAATAATTCATGAGTAAATTAGCCAACCGTATTGCTTTATTTTGCTCACATGATAATAGTCCTTGGAAATTAATTCACCTCACATTAAGTATTGATTTATTCTTATGAGATGTCATTTCAAATCCTCCAATTCGGACCGGACTAGAAATCTAGTGCAGTCCTCATAGTGGCCCATAGTCGAATTTGAAATGTTACATCAAAGTTTCTGTGAGGCCAAAAAAAAAATATGTGGGTTTCCGGTTTCTTCTTATAAAAACTTAGGTAGGGTAGGTCGGTTTTAACTTTTTTTTTAAACTTTTTTTTAATTTTCCGAATAAGCGGACGCCATTTTGTTTAGTCAGTGCTTCCATATCCAAAGATAAATTTCCCTAATATTGCCTCAAATTTCAATTTTCCACAAACTTTTTCCTCTAAGTGGAAACACTTACAAGCATGATCCAATAAAAAAGTTTAGGGTCGGGATTTCGACGTCCAAAAGCTAGGTAGGGTCGGGAAACCGGAAACCCACATATTTTTTTTTTGGCCTGACCATAGTAAGAATTTTGCATAGGTAAGTTTTGAAGGATTTGTAAGAAATGTTTGAGGGAGTGTTTAACATGTTTACTATGCATATATGGCGTTTCAAAATAAAATCCGACTTCACTCTTACTTCACATATGTTAACTCTCGCATAACTTTTTGCGTTTTGACGGAAGTGAGTTACGCCAAATTTAACTCTCTCGTATTAGATGACAGAAAAGTGGGTGTTGGTAAAGTAGGCGTACTCAAACTTGACTCTCCGAAATCTTCAATATATTAAGTCTCCCTGTAATAACTCTCCGTTTAGCCATTCCTGGCTAAACGCTGTTTTCAACTTCAAACATACTGTCCACTTCAAATATACTTCAAACATACTGTCCACTTCAAATATACTTCAAACATACTGTCCACGAGCAAAGGGGAAAAGTCGAATACGAGCGCGAAAGGCCGCTGGGAATCCCTAACAAATTAATGAATTTTCAAAGCGATTCCCAGCAGCTTTTAATGTAATTTAATTTAATTTATTAACTTTGCCAGATTCAAGCAATTAACGTTAACACAAAAACTGGCAGGGCAATCGCAACAGCTTGCGCCAATTACTGCGATCCCTATATGTTAGACAAATACACTATATACACTATTACGTACATAGAAAATCGCGCTTTTCGCGCTCGTATTCGACGTTTCCGCTTTGCTCGTGGACACACTTAATTGAAGTAGTTGTATAAGATATCTATGGTTGCTCACCGTCATGGCCTTTTCCACAACAGGTATCAAAGGCTGAGCCAAGAAGAATAAGCCACGGGCAAACTTTGCCGTATACCCTTTCATAAAATCTATCCATTATGTACATGACGTTAATGATCTTCTGCTCGGCGTGGAAGGGAATATCCTTCGATTTGGGCTTGTTGTTATACGTCACTCCCGCAATGACCAGGTTCGATTGCGCGTCCTGAGGATAAACCTGGGCTGTTTTCAAAGATGGGAGGTAATAGGCATTCAGGTAATCGCCCACTCGCTTCGGAACTTCCCAGCGTTTGGCTTCACTGCGCGCAATCATCAGAAAAGCAAACTGGCTTCCCTTTTCATTCAGTGGAACGCGGGAGTAAATGTAGTTGTAAAGTTGTCTGCCATAGCCAAAAAAGTCAAAAAAGATAGTAAATGTTACCGGTTGAGTTGACAACGACCTTGCGGATGCGTTTTCCGTACGATGTTGAATTGATGTTTGGTTTTTCAGACTTGAGCCGGTCGCCTCCAATACCAACAAACAGAGAATGATAGAAAACAGTTTGGTTTCCATATTCGATGTCTCGATCGCTGTTGAACTTAACATCTTAACCCAAAAGTACGCTCCTTTTAAGTTTTCAGTGTTGCATGATCTCATCAACTATCAACTTGTGGAACATTGAAAAAGTTTGTTAACAAAAGATAACATGATCAATAAGATGATGATCTAATGTACAAAATGATTATCTAATGATTATCTATCATACTTTTTTAAATATACAATATCAAATGACCTCATTCATTGACAAAGTTTGTTATCAAAGAATGAGATGAACAATAAGATGCTGATCTAATCAGTATTATGATTATCCAATGATTATCTATGATAATCTTATTAAATATGCAAATTCAAATTACCTCATCGACTTGTGGAACATTAACAAAGTTTGTTATCAAAAGATTAGACAATCAATAAGCAGGCTATCTGATCAATGTGATGATCATATACGCTAAATATAGATGACATTATGGAAGATATTATCTGATTTGCCTTAACTTTGCTTAACAAACTTTAGCTAAAGCGATTATTGCTAAATCATTTTCACCGAGTTGCAACTCCACACTAAAGCCCCGTTTACACAACGCTTAATTTTTGGTACGGTATGGATAAAATTGGTACCCGTACCACTTTTGTTGGTTTTTGGACTACCTATTTAGGTAGTCCGAGAACCAAAAAAGTGGTACGGTACCAAACATCGAGCGTAGTGTAAACGGGGCTTAATTAACAACCCTCACCACAGCTTAGATATGGAGTAATAAGCATAGTTTCTTGTTTGCGTTCTTTAGTTCTTTCACTGGAATATTTTATCAGCGAATATTTAATTCTGTATCTCATGTTTTGTAATTGTAATTGAAATTTTTTATTGAACGTGTTTTGAAATACTGCACGCGTTTCATTTTCGGACTTTCAACTTTTGAAGAAAACGCTGTCGTTGTCTTTCGGGTACTATAGAAATTTATACACTTCGACCAAAGAATTTCGTCAGTATAAACCTGCTTTCAGAGATTTGTCAATCTCTGATTCTCACTTATGATCTCATTTGTGAAATATACGTATACTCTCGATATCGTCATTACAAAGAAAGAGTTATTGTTACGTTTTGAAAATGAACTGTTTATTAAAGAAGTGCTTTAATAAGGAAAGTTTTTTTTCTTGAATATGTTAGCCCTTCAAAAATCTACTACATTGTACATTAGATAAAGATGTTCTGTAATGTTCCACCAGCCTATATCTTCATAGATAAGATAGGTAACTTTTCATCTTGTTCAAAGAGAATTGATATACTTGTTAATGTGTCTTGATATTCTATTTTTACGTGTAAGGAAGGCGGATTTTCTGCAAAAGGATTTCTTCTATTCAATAGATATATAGGCTCTTGAAAAATCTGAAGATTTCATGTAAATTCCCTCTCACAGGAATTGAACCTGTGGCCTTGCGATTCCGGTACAGTGCTTTAACCACCTGAGCTACAGAGTCCAGTTGTCGAGTAGTAACCACAAGTTCATGCATTTTTAGTGATGCTATTCTAAAGTATATGGGTAAATATCAAAATTTTGAGCATCTCAATCGACATCATTAAGTCTTGAAGGGTTGTTCATAATCATCTCATGAAAAAGGACACAACATCTTATCTCATCATTTCATAACATCTTTTTTCAATGTTCCACATGTAGCCATGTTAATAAAGTCATCTGAAGATGTATTTACACTAGAAAATGCGAATAAGCCCTTGTCGGGGAGTTAATGCCTTTATAAGAAGCCACATTTTCTTTCAAAAGAATTTCACGTATTCAATGTATAGGCTCTCCTACATTGTATTGTACTAGTATTACGTCGATATTTTACAATCTTATACAGTTCCTGTTGATCTTTTGTTTCATCTTCGCATTGATATTTTATGTTTCCAAAAGGAAACCGAATTTTTTCTACTTCTATTCAATGTGAAGGCCGTTCAAACATTTCCCACAAGTATTTTCACAATGTTCCACCGGCCTATCTAAATGTTTATCTTTGCAGTAAACTGATAACATTAGAACTCTATGTCAATCTTTGCCATGTTCTTATCTCGCTTATCAAAAAAAATCAATGTTCCACATGCGAATGAGATCACTTAGTGTTGTATTTAAAGACTGTACTCAGGCTTGAGCTATTCAAACTATCATTTAACTGCTGAATCTTACTTAGTTGAATCAAACTGTCAATCTAACTGAATTGGACTTGTTGTATCTTCAGCGTTAAGATATTCAAATTAACAGTCACACAAGTTAACTGTCACGATTGTGAACTCGAAATTCACGATGAAGACAACGCTATTGTTGATCCTAATTGCGTTTTTGTTCGTTTTGGCTGCGATGGATTCAAGTGCCCTAAGGTCATATCCACGCCACCACAGGCATACAATAAAGGCGTCCAATGAAACAACTCTCGAAGAGTCTGATTCGGCAACGGATTCCACTTCCCGAAGACACCAATTCCCTTACCACCACGGGTATACAAACGCATCTAATGCAACATTCATACAAGAATTCGACTCGCCAATGAATTCCTCAGCTCGACGACATCAATTTCCTCACCACCACAGACACGCAAACGCTTCCGCGGAGAGCCTACTTGATGAATCGGACGAGGAAACGAATTCAACTGCTCGAAGACACCAATTCCCTCGACATCACAGGCACTTTAGGGCATCCATGGAGACCCTCGATGATTCCGAAGAGAATTATTCCACAAGACAGCATGTTAATGCATCCACTGACGACTCGGATTCGGTGATCGCAGAACGAAGGCACATATTCTCGAGAAATCGCAGGGATGTGAACGCCACCGTGGAAGCTTTCGAAGACGAGCCTGATTCTGGAACCAATTCCACATCTTCCGACACCTTCAAATATGTCAACAAAAGGTCCATGAATGAAACATTGGATGAAGAAGTGTAGAAACATTTATGTAAAGATTTTTTCGGAAAGTCAAGTAATAGTATCCAGTTTTAATGACGTAATTATTTCAGATTATAAATGACGTAATAATATTCGATTGGAAAAGTTATGTATGTTTTGATCATAATAATCACTATTGTAATTGATATGTACTTGTGTAAGGTAATGTTCTTATTCTGGAAAATATACCATTGTGTAAATGCTTGAAATAAAATTATTTGCTCGTTTGCATATTTGTTTGTAGAATACACAAACATACATCGATGAAAATTGCTAATCTCTCTGTGTCACCAACTACGGGGTGGTTTTCTTCGTGTATTCCAGTTTCTTCGTGCCGTACAGAGGCGTATAGCCAGCCCCAAACGAGCGCGCGTACTGAATTTTTTTTACATTTTCTAACGAGCACTGGCTGCCAAAATAACCATGGGGCTATAAAATCTGGCAGTCAGTCTATTTCAACAAGTCAATCTTTTCAAAGACAACTTCACAACAAAGACAAACGACAACAAACAAAATTAATGAATAATAAAGCCTGGATAAATTTGCAACATAGAACTGATTGAGCTATCCAGTATCGATAATATTAGTTTAGTTCAGATTTTCTCCTGTAGTAACACTGGATGAGTATAAATAAAGTAAGCTAAAGCTTAATTTAGTTTAACTATTTTTTTCATCTAGTACACAACGTCAGCATTGAATATGTAGGTTCTGCCTGTCCCGAGAAACCATCATATACCACTGATGTAGTTGTCACGATGTAAGTAAATTTTGTTAAATCGTTAATAATTCATGAAGAAAATTCAAAAGAAATCAATATTTAATGAGGTGTTGAATCCACATATACAAAATTCTTCTGATTTCTATAAACTTTTTTCTTTTAGCTTCGGGATGAATAGATGAGTTTTTTGTATAATAATAATTTATTCAAATGCATGACCTAATTACAGGTATTGATGTATAGATGGAATTTTTGATATACATTTTTAGAGCAGTTGCGAAAAATGCAACTACTAGGCCCGAGGAGGCAGGAGTCGAACCTGCGACCCTGCGATTCCGGTACAGCGCTCTAACCAACTGAGCTACAGAGGCCACTACTTTATATTTTCTGTGGTTGTTCATCATCTGTGGCACGTTGCTGCTAAATGAAATCCACCTTTTTCTATTCCCAATTCTATAGAGTTTTTTGTGGTTTTCTACTATTGCTTTGTCTTCTGGGTACCACGGTCGACGTGTTCGAATGGCATTCTATTTTGAAATCTCCAAATGAGTCAAGTTCTATCAACGATGATCAAACGACTATTCGTGATGAAGAAATACCATTTCAAGCATCACTACAACCGTATGATAAGAGCACAACCGATATGAGTGCACCACTTGTATCAGAACATGCGAGGGTGCCTAGTGTATCGAGTAGAATCCCTGCAGGTAGGTAGCACCATTTATAAGGAAACAACAACAACAACAACAACAACAACAACAACAACAACAACAACAACAACAACAACAACAACAACAACAACAACAACAACAAAAACCAACAAAAAACAATCCACTCAATGTTTAAAAGCAACGTTAGGAAGAGAGGCAAACAATGTGTCATTCTGAGTATAAAAAACTAATATCCGTCGATGAAGTCAATCATCATGCCTATATATACACTCTTTAAAGTTTTCGTTTTTCAGGGGTTTTCGTGGATTTTCTTCGCTGCTTCTCACTGGTCCGAAATGCAACAAAGATCTTCAGTACAAACGTCCCACCGAAAGTGATCACGTCTATCAACGGTTTGCGTGTCATTAGCATGTTCTGGATTATCCTAGGACACACGTTCCTATTCATGTTGACCAGCGGTGTACTAGGTGAGTAAAATTGGTTATAAATCCATGTCTCGCTGTTTTATGAATGCTGAGCCCTATCCTTACCCTGACTCGAACCCTAACGCAGATACAAGTAATTTGTCTTTGATGGTTATACTTAATGGATATTTCAGTGTTGACACCTTCTTTTTCTTGAGGTAGAAAAACATAATATTTACGATTCTCATGAATGTTGCATGTGTTTACAATGTTGCTACCCATTTCAAAACTTTAGATAACTCACATGCCTAGATATATTGTTTTAGTTTACAGAAACATAGAATAACAAAGGGAACTAAACATTAGAATTATGTATTAGAGTTCTTCACTCATGAAGATGCTAGGACAATATAGTAACGAGGCACACATGAGTAAAGGCTGATTTCCATGCACTGTACACGCACGTAAAACTTGGAATCCTTCTATTTTTTAAATATTTTACAAATAAGTTAACAAATGCATACTAAAACTTGCGAAACACTAAATTCTGTTGCTTTATTTATTTGGTTATTTCATAAGTAACATTTAAACGGATTTAAAGTTTTACGTGCGTATACGTACGTATGAAAAACGCAACAGTGGAAATCAGCCTTTAGCCAAGTTTTGAATTGGGTATAAACAAACATTAGGCAATTTTGTCTACTCACTGTAAAAAAGGGTTTGTGTTGGACATGCACATTTCTGTTTCGTTTTAGTGGGCTTCTTCTGGCGTATACTTGTTTTAGAAAGTTGGAGAAAAGTGAAGGGAAATTCAACTGGTTCCTTTTCTATTTTCATCGATATGTCAGGTGGGTTGTTGCACGTCGTGTATCATTCCAAAAGATCTAGTCGACCTCGAAAAAATCTCTAAAGATATCCGTGAAATTGCCTAAAAATTAGCTATGAGGGTTCAACATTGAGGCTGGGGGCAACATCCTTCCACCACACCAGCACAGAATACTATACAGAAGTCCATCTCCATTGTTTTTGCGTAAGCGTTTTTCGTCATGATTCGTCACTCAGATAGTACCGTAAACAGAAGCAGTCACCCCCCTGGACGTGCGCCATTTTTAGTATTTCCAAGGGGGGACTGCTTTTGTTTACGGTATTTCCTGAGTGACGAATCATGACGCTAAAAACAATGGAGATGGACTTCTGTGTAGTATTCTGTGACACCAGTCAATATCAAAAGAGGTCCTTTTAATATATGCATTTGCTGTAGGATAGTGAAACCTGCCTTCTTGTATAATGAAAAATGTTTCCAAATTTTCTATTTAATTTATCTTTCAGACTGACTCCGTCACTTATGTTTGTGATCTTGTTTTACGTGAAACTCAAACCTTTCCTTGCTTTCTCACCGTTATGGACGTTACAGAAGGACGAGCATTGTTCGAAATACTGGTGGACCAACTTAATATACATCAATAATTTTTATCCAACTCGTTTTACGGATGAGGTAATTTGTCTGTGCTGCTTACAGGGAAGTCTACAGGACTTGTTTAAAGTTTGTTTTCATGACGATAGCGGCCTTATCATGGTTGATGTTGGAGACTGGGGTGGGGATGTGGATGTGGTGGTGGAGGTGGGGGAATGAAAATGCGGGATATTCTCTATTTTACCATATAGTGTGTTGGCTGGACTTGGTATTTGGCAAACGATATGCAGTTTTATATATTTCGCCTCTTGTGTTGATCTTAGCGTACAGGTTTGGAAATTCATTTTTTGTGTTACAGAGAGTCAGGGTTTTTCAGGATTTTTGGCCGACACTGGACCAAGACAGAAAAAGTGTTTTATGGAATATTTTCAAAACCTGCGTGGAGCGTGGCACTAGCATGGGATTCGACAGCTAAAAGCCTGATCTTTATTCGTAAGGAAAAACTAAATGGATAAACGTAATATATAATGCACGATACTCGATAATATGCGAATGTCGCCGGGATTACCATTTTTGTGATACGCCCTATAAATATTAGTTTGTTTGATGATATGGTCTTACGGTTACAGCTTAACAGCTGGCCTCTGTAGCTCAGTTGGTTAGAGCGCTGCACCGGAATCGCAGGGCCGTAGGTTCAATTCCTACCAGAGGACCTTGTGCTGCATTTTTCGCAGTCGTTCCTGGTTATAGGTCTTAAAATGTGTATATTCTCACTTGGATTCCAAACCCTAACATTCTAATATAATACACATTTTTTCTTTCATTTCCTAGACATTTAACTTCATAACAGCTGTGGTCCTATCCTATGCCTGTGCTTTTATTCTTGCTGTCGTGATCGAGTTCCCATGCGACAACCTGGAAAATTTTGCCGTAAATTCATTTGGGAAAAAGAAACGTGCAAACTAAGTTTTAAAATCTGCTTGGTTTGTACTTCAAATTAAATGATTTTAGTATCGAATGACAGTTTTTGAAATAGGATTTGATTTATTTTATATCATTACATAGTGGAGTGGAATCACTTAAGCCTTGATTCCATGTATGGTCGTAATAGTCGTAAAAATAGAGTCACGATCTTTCTCAACGGTTTGTAATAGTTTATACCTGTAAACCACATATAAATCATAAGTATTCTCTAGTTATAATCACTCCCGTATTTTCAGTTCTAAATGTTGTATTTTCGCTGATGAGAAAGATTGACTCAATCTTTACGACCGTTAAGACCATATATGGAAACCAGGCTTTGTTATATTCCCGAATCCCTGTTGTTGTGACAATTCTGCCGGAACAATAGACCTTATGCATAATGACGTCACAAGGCTTGATGACCGCCAGGAATGCTGGTTTTAGTAGTCGTCGCGCGGGAAAATTAAACAATTCAAAATGGCCACTATCGAAATTTTCCCGGGCGATGACTACCAAGACCAGCATTCCTCGCGGGCATCAAGCCTTCCAGGTGATCTCGTGTTCGTATTTTAGCCAATCAGCGCTCAGATAGGGTTGTCCGAATAGAAATCCATTTTGATGTATTCAGTCAATTATATCTTTCGTTATTCTTTATGAAACTAGTTGAAATTTTGTAATTATGTTTGGTTATGAGAACTATAGCTCTGACAAAAATATGGAATCGAAATAAAGTATATTACAGGAGATATTCAGTTGTTTTAATCATAAAATGGATTTCTATTTGACAACTAGTGACAGTACTTTTCCGCGTATCAAGATCACCTGGTTGTGACGTCATTATGCATAAGGTCTATTAGTTGTTATCACTTTGCAACAAGGTTGACGACAAGACAGCAGGCTGTTCTAATCAAGTTGCTACTATCTTGTTGTCATCAACTTGTCACGTGCAGACGATATCAGACTTGTTGGAAGAACTTGTTGAAAGTCTGTTGGCCTCATCAACCTTGTTTCAAGATGATAACGACTTGTTCCAGACTTGTCAACAACTGCGAACAAGCAGTGCGAACACATCTTGTTGAGAAGTGTGAGTTTTACCGTGTAGTTCAGTGGTCAAAGTGTTGGTACTGCACTAAACCAGAGAACTTTGGTTCGTCTCCCGGTTACCACATTCAGAAATCTATATTTGGGCCAAATAAAATAATAGTTGGTTTCAGGTTTCACAGCCATGTTTTATATGGGTAGGTAGGTCGGAAAAACATTTTATTTAAAAAAAATATTTTATCTCAAGTATATTTTGAAATAACGAAAACAATCAGCGATGCTGGACTTTCTTCATCATGAGTAACTGTCACGCATGATCAAACGTGCCACGCGGGCTCACCCGCGAGCTACAAGTGTTTCGCGAGAAACAAACGCATCAAGGCGTTTTCGTCTTTTTTCAACCGTAGCTGCCATGTCAGAATAATGTACGTTTTTAATATTTTATTCAACTGTTCTTTGTGTAAAACTATGATTAACATGATTAGATAATGAATAAATTATAATCAAACAAAATAATTTGTAGACAAATGAGTATGATGACTATTTATATATTCTGCTATTTACGAAAAGATGATCTCGACTGGGAAATGTCAATAAAATGTTTATGGTCGGTCATATTTTTGACAGGTCGGTCGGAAACCTGAAACCAACTATTATTTTTATTTGGCCTTGGCAAGTGATTCAATCCTATTTGGGCACTTCAAATTACCATTCGTACATTGGCATTGCTATAAGGAAAACAAACAATTATTTTTAGTAATAATTTCATTGACTCTAACGCCAGAGTAAGCGTATAAATTTTAAAATATTTTTGCAAAATAATTTATAAATTAATGTGGGAATATGAGGCTGCTAAAATTTACCAAGCACTTAATAGTATTGAAACGATTGCAAATTGACGTACGCGTCCTATCAGTGTTGTGATTAAACAAGTCCATATTTGCACTAACCAATAAATAAACAAAACTTGTGTGACCATTGTGGTAAAGTCACGAGGTTAGTGAGAACCTACTGTATGTGAGGTGTATATTAACCCATTGAGTCGCATTGCACCCCGATGCGCCCTACTTTAGTATTTTAGTCTGTCTAACGCCAGACGATTTTAGTCGTCAAGGGGAGAGCGCTGGCGCTTAATGGGTTAACTGGCCTATCTGCCCATGTGTCTAGTTAACCCATTGAGTCGCATTGCACCCCGATGCGCCCTACTTTAGTATTTTACTCTGTCTAACGCCAGACCATTTTACTCGTCAAGGGGAGGGCGCTGGCGCTTAATGGGTTAAGACTGCTGGGGCCGGTTGTTCAAAGGTGGATTAGCGCTAACCCTGGGTTAAAATTTAATCTACTGTTTTAGTTTGTATATTTCTGCACGTCTGTTTATTTCAAAACTTCAGAGAAGTACACTCCGATCCAGACAAGATCTCTGAAGAAATATTTCCAAATTTAATTATAAACAAGCCTGTCAAGAAGTTTGCTTTGAATTTTAGCTTAATAACCTAGGCCTATATATTATTACAAAAAATCTTTACAGAGGGTAAAACATTTCAGTGCACAAGACACTGTTATCAATATGTGCCCTCTCTACTTCTAAATTAAAATACAAGCAATAAAATAGATATAAAATAAGTTAGTTCAAAATCTATTATTCAGTCTACCTATTACAAAAGTCTTTCAAAAACTTAAAAATTAGGCTAAGTCAGTAAGACTACAGTTCACATGTACCTATTTATAATAGTCTTTCAATAGCTTAAGAAATTGGTCATAATCTCCTTCTCGTCTTATTTCGATTGGCAAATCATCTGGGGACGAGATAAATTGGGAGGGGGGAGATGAAATTAAATTTTCCTTGCAAGAACTGGGCCGTTCATTTTGTTCCTCTAGGAAGAACAGTCTAGAAGTGATAGACTTATTCAGTGTAATAAAGTTAGCAAAGCTCAGGTTTTGTCCCGTAGTAACACTGGGACATTACTAGACGCTTATAGGAGAACATTTTAGAACTCGTACTAATACAACAATCCAGTCTAAATAGAATTCAGACTTTAGTTTCGATTTCCTGCTGTAGTGACACTGAATGACCCTTACTGTCGGACAATGTAAAACTAATAGAACTATCCTTGAGCTATCCAGTATAAATAAAATAGTTAAAGTTTCCTTCTGTAGTATAACACTCGACAAATTAAGGATAGTTTTACTGAAAATTAGCCTGTGTGCAGACTGCACTATGCTGTAATACGGAGATCTACTGTGTAAATAAAGATAATTTCATGTAGCTTTACAGCTTTTCATTTTATTTTCTTCCTCAGTTAATTGCCTTGATTGGTTGGTCTGTGGCGTTTGCGATTGTCATGACTAGTCTACGCTCCGCACGAATCTGTCGTTCCAGGTAACCGAGAATGGAATCTGATACTTATGCTGTAATATATTAATCGTATTATGTTTTTAGACGCAATAACGCAACTGATTGAAGAATGAAGTATAGTGTTCTGTGAAAGAATTTCTTCGCAAAAAGTTTATAAACAGTAACACCAATACCATATTAAACGATTCAATCCTATTTTGGTACTTCAAATTACCATTCGTACATTGATACTGCTCGTAAAAACTATACTTTTTCGGAATTAAGCGTATAAATAAAATATTTTTGAAAAATAATTTTAATAGAATAATGTTGGAAAAATATATATATTATATATAAATTTCCCACATGAATTTTATAATATATTATAATGCTCCTAAAATTCACCAAGCACTTAATAGCATTGAAACCATTGAAACGATGTATCAGTGTTGTGATTAAACAAGGCATATTTGCACTTACCAATAAATAAACCAGACCTGTATGACCATTGTGGATGTGAGGTGTATATTAAGACCTTAGATTTTCTTGCGCAATAAATTCCACAGAGAAAGATTACATCATGATCTGTATAACAATAGACAGGGGAAGCATGACATGGCATTTTTGAAAAGCGACAAGAAATCCGTTTTCCTTTGCTTACACTTGCTGAAATGTGGAGTTGAAGTGCTTAAGATTTTATACATGCACAATTTTACTTTCATACTTATTTTTAACATATATAACGTCATGCCCAAATGTTGTGTATATAAATGAATCTGCGTTGTACTAAAATCATTAAAATAGAAGTATTGCCGAGTAATTAATTACATGCATATTTGACATTTTCATAGTATCATATTACCATTTATTGCCATTTATATTACCTGTATTTTTGTGTTGTTGTACATTTGAACAATGGCTTGCATTGGAGCAAAATCGCTGTTGCTTCTAGCTGCATGTTTTTGCCTTTTTACCCCAGGTAATACCCAGCTACCATCATGGCTTGGTCAACTGGGCAACCTAAACGGCACCCTGTCAAATTTGCTCAGACAACTATCAGGCTTGAATACGAATACAACCTTGTCTAATCTACTCGCGCAACTGAATTCAACTGACAGAAGAAAGATGGTTGAAGATATTTCCAAATCGCTTGGTAAGATCGATTTTGCTTCCCTGTTTGAGAGCCGAGTTATGAACAGCTTACAGAACAACAACAACAACAACAACAACAACAACAACACAACAACAAC